AATTCTACAGGAAGGACCGACTAACCAGCGAGGTGGCCCGCCACGTTGTTAGTCGTACTAAAGATTACCAAATCATTTAAAATGGAAGGAGTAGCCAATATTTATAAGTCCACCCAACTATATTTGTTCGCATCATTCGTCTCAAAGTGAATCATTTTAGAGGTATCTCTTCAACTTGAAAGATCTCGAAGGGATTGAGCCAATTGACATTGTTCGAATGAGCTCCTCATGCTAGGTGATCCTTAACTTCAGCATCACTTGGATCATGACCGTAAATAGTGCAATAAGTCTTGATGAAGTTTTAGGTTTCTTCCTTATTCAAAGCAACAACCTCCATTTTTGGGAAACTAATGTAAGGGAAGCTAAAGCTCCTATAACTTCGGATGACGTGAGCATATAGCTGACTGTGCTATCATCTACTGCATCCTCGTAAAAAATGAGAGCATCAAAACAAAACTCACTAGACGAAGTTTTCCATTAAGAGAACCACTAGGTAACCTCTCAGAATCTGAATCATTAGACAAAGGTATGACAATGAGACTTGATTGATCATTAATTAAACAATGAAAATCTGGACTAGAGGACACTTATGCCCTAACTAAAAGGGAGGAGTCACTACTCCCATAATATCTAGACAAACTTATGGGATGATCATTTATATTGGCCAATGTAAAATAAATATTAAAGATGTGAAACAAGTTGAGGTCAAGAAGGATACCTGGTAGGAGTAGAGTCTGATGAACAAGGTGAAATTTAAGGGCGTAATGGAAGGCTATGTTCAAGGAATGGAAAATTCTCTAAGAAACGCTTTTGAAGAAGGAGAAGAAAGTATACTTTCAAATAGAAATTGATTCTCAAGCATAACTAAAGTTGTCCTAGAAGTCCATAAGCCTTTATATATAGGAAGGCAACCAACATACCAAATAAATGGGAAATTGAAGGTTATAAATTATTGACCAGATTTCACCTAGGAAGTGAAAACAAACTCAAGTGCGCTACATCTGAAAAAACCAGTGAAACATTTCAATGCTGGGATAACATTTAATGCATTTGTTCCCATTACTTTTGTCACTGTTCTCTGACCATCCTACCTCTCGCTATTATCAGACATAATCGCTAGAATCCAGCCTGACTTTGAAAGACTTTCTGACTAGTACACGTCTGACGAGCCTTGGGGGTAACTATTCTGGGTTGGCCAAAGGTACAATATGAATGCCCAATCATGAATAAGCCCAATATAGATGATATAAGGTATATAGTCAGCATTCGTAAGATCCAAGATACACTTTTCCGATCTCTACTTTTCACTATACTCATCTTAGACTCTGTAACTAACTTGGGTGTTAGAGTGCTAACCTTGAGGGTCCTTCCTGCACCACTCTACCAGAGATCAACAACAATAATTCCAGAATCCTACGTCATCAATCTACACCAATTTTTGTTGCAACAAGGTATAGGGAAAATGTGACTCCTCGTTGAATTTGCCTTGTTTTGCAAGCTAAACTTTTTGTTACATATTCGTTGATCGACGGTTGTTCACTCATCAAATTTAGTATAAGCTTATGCCTTCAAGTTTTGGTTCTCTTGCTCCATTTTGCTTGTTTTTTATCCTTTCTTCTTGACTTTTCAATCAGCAAACCTGATATATTCAAATTGTTATAAATTAAAATCAATTTCAAATTACAAGACAATGTTCAATATAAGCATAAATCAAAGGTTTCATATGCCATTTCATGTGTAAGTAAGTTGATAAGTGTGAAATCAATAATGAAAATCAAATAAATTACACACTTATTATGAATCAAGTTGGATCCTGATGAGTGGCTCTGGACGATGATGTGAAATATTTTGGATTTTCTAGGTTGGAATTTGAGGAAATGATACCTATAAATACTCTGATGCTCAAGTCAGTAATCAAAGACGAAGTGAAGGGTATTAGAATAATATTTAGGAACCTTAAACACTAATTCAGTGGCCTTATATAGTTTCTCCAAGATAATCAAAATTACGAGGGTCGTTATGAATATTGATGGCCCTATGTGATTCCCTCTCCCGTTGGGCATGTTGCCCCCACCTCTATTTTGTATTGGTTAGTGAGGACCAAGTAAAAATTGTTTGGATGTTGGGTTAGGTAATCCAAAACAAAGATCAAAGTCTAAAATTTTGTTTTTATAATTAAGTTAACTTAGTAAAAGTCATAATGATTATATTTGGGATATATGTTTTTCTTTTTGCTAGTTTTGAAAGATATGGTTTTTGTTTTTTAAAGGAATTAAAAATGTGTGGTGCAGTAGTGAAATGAAATTTTGGTGTGGTGGAGCAAACTTTCGATGAAGTGGAGAGGAGACAGACTTGCAAGATTATTACTTCAATTCTCAAGTCAGTTCTGAGTGAAAAATAGTATGAAAGTGAGAATAGGTTGAAAACTTGAAACGACAATATGACTTTTATATAGTAGGGGAGGTTTAAAACATCCGTGCATGTTTTGGATCCTTGAGCAAGTATTTGTTCAATTAAATTCAACAATGAGAGATACTGATGGGGTGTGATAATGTGTCCTTAGCAAGGACGACAATCCACCTGTTTCATGCGTTTTTTTTTTCTCAACGCATATTATTAAAACTTATTTGCAAACCATGTGGACGACCCATAATTGTTATATTTTGTATTACAACTTTATTTATTTATTTATTTATAAATATGAATATGTTTACCGAATGCTGGACAATATTTACTAATAAAATGGTTCATGGTTCTAAATAGGTTGTTCAGATATGTTATAATAGTTCACGGTTTTAAATTGATATGTATCTTACTATGAAAATGTTGTATATCAAGATAAAATATTAGCAATTTTTTATTAAGCAATATGTATATTTATATGAATTTAATTGATATGCACTGACAATGTAAAATTATTTTACACTGTCAACCAATCACCTTCATGCATCCTGCTACATCAAACTGTAAATTTTAAGTTAACTGTATGACATAGCAGATTAATATATTCTTATTAGATGACAATGTAAAATTACTTTATTTATATTGAGCACTAGTTGTACTCTAGATGAATTACAAAGTTTTAGAAAGATATTGCAAAATAAATACTTAGAGAAATTCTCATGGATGATTACACCATTCATAAAAATTAATTTGAATTTACTTTTAGAACCAATAACAAGCCACATCCAAGAGCAGACTTTGATATTGAGTATCACTTCCCCCACATCTTCTATATCATCCTTAAACATAATTGCATTTCTATTGTTCCAAATACATCAACAAACAGTCATCCAAATAGATCATTTCCTGTACTTTTCTACCTTTTTTCTCAGTTGGTGGAAAATAATATGAAGTTATCTCTGTTGTAAATAATATGAAGTTTTCTATGTTGTAAACAAAAGCTACTAATTCAAGAAGACCAATTTCACTGTCCACTAACGAAGGTCCCGTTTAAAGTCAGAACATTGTTCTGTATAGGCTGATCAAATACAAAGATTGATTGTACCTATCAAGATTCAAACATGAGATTTTAATCCTCTCAAGACTCAAATCTCCATCACTAAACCAACTTTTAAGTTATTCAAACTCAAACTTAATACAATCTAATCGGAATTTCGAAAAGCGAATTTGGTCCGTTTCTATTGCCATGTCTAAATATTAGGGAAAGGGATTCTCTTCACCAAAGAAACAGTGGCCATCTTCATCATTAAACATTTCTCTTTCCTTAATTTTGGACATTTTATAGGGCCAAGATCTCACTGCATTTCTATTTCATGGGAGACAATTTGTTCCCAACTATTAGAACTGTATTGATGGAGTTTGGCATAAAATATGGATGGTCCATTACACTAGATGCCCACACCAAAAGAGAGACTTGAAACTGTCTTAAGATAACACAACCCTACCTTTATGTCTAGTCTAAAAAACTATGAAACTAAAATTAGGTACACAATTAAGATTAATTAATCTCAACTTTCATGCGAACCAAACAAGTGTGAAATACAAGTTTTCTTTTATTTATTAAAGTTTGGCAAGTAGTTCTTACATAGCTTTTCATAAACAGGACCTAGTTGGTGTAACATAAACTTTTCAAAAAACTTTCCCATTTTAACCATATATTTGCTTCTATTTACATTTACACAAGTCAATAAATCATTAACAAAAGGGCATTATTGTAATTAAACCACTAAGAACTGAAAAATAAGAAATTGTTCTTTACTTTCTAGATTTCTTTGTTCTATCCGAAAGGGGCATAGAATATGAGTCTCTAACCTCTTTTTCACAAGGCATGCTCTAAGAAAATTACACGTGAAAAAATAACACAAGGTAATATATAAATATTCTATAATTTAGTTAAATAAATAAATGTTTCAATAAAATGTTACAATAATTTACTTCAATAAAAATAACACAATAGTTTCGTTCAGATAACACATAAAATAATTTAATTTTATTTAATTAAGTGCAATTAAATTTTGATTTTTTTAGATGTTTAAATTACGAGTCTGTCCGGACACTGGTTAAAAATTTTAAATAAAAAAAATATGTTATGTTTAATTTATTCAATATACACAATATTATTAAAAAAATGATTATTTCTCTTTTCAGTGTATTTAATATATATATATACATATATATATATATATATATATATATATATATATATATATATATATATATATATATATATATATATATATATATATATATATATATATATATATATATTAAAAATATGTTTTTTTAATCTCTTAACTAATTTGCAAAAGCATTTTTTTTAATTATATTTATAAAAAAAATTATTTAAATTAACTATTATAAAAGATTAGGTAAAGTAATAATTTGTTTACACATTGATAAGCTTGTTATGTAAGGAAAGAATCCAAAATTTATTAAACCATTTTCCTCCCTCTTGAAAACTCAACTCCTCTCAAATTTTCTTCTCATTATTTCTCATCCATTCCCAAACTCAATTTCTTCAGAAATCATCTCTAAAAATGGGCATAAATTTTTTCATTATTTCCTCTATCCTAACCTCAACATTCTTCTTATTCTTCTTTGTTGTTTACATTCCAACCAAAAAACTAAGCACACCAATAACCTCAAACATTTTCCCTCAAAATCCAACAATCCAAAACTTCAACATCTCAAACACAAACAAAACATATCCAATCACTTTCGCATACTTAATTTCAGGCTCAAAAGGAGACTCCATGAAGATCAAAAGATTGTTGAAGGCTTTGTATCATCCAGGAAATTACTACCTAATTCATATGGATCATGGTGCACCAAAGAAAGATCATAGAGATTTGTTTGAATATGTGAGCAATGAAGGTGTTTTTGGTGAAGTTGGAAATGTTTGGATTGTGAAAAAAAGCAATTTTGTTACATATAAAGGTCCAACTATGCTTTCTACAACTCTTCATGCAATGGCTATTCTTCTTAGGAGATGTCAATGGGATTGGTTTATTAATCTTAGTGCTTCTGATTATCCTTTGCTAACACAAGATGGTATGGTGAGTGCCCTTTAATCATAATATTAATTTTTTTTTTCATTATGGTAAAAAATAAATATATTTTCAAATTTATTAAATAATTAATATATCTGATTTTTTATATAAGCTACATACAGAAAATATTAAATAAATAAAAAAATTGTTTATGATAATAATTGGAAAGAATATTTCATTTAAAAAAATAAATATTTTTTTTTGCTATTTGATTTAATGTGAATTAATTATTTTTTTTTTTGAATTTTCAGATCTGATCCAAGGCTTTTCTGGGGTGCCAAAGGATATTAATTTCATTCACCATAGCAGTCATTTGGGTTGGAAATTGTAAGTAATATTGTTCATTTCTTTAAAAATATTAATATAATGAATTTTTTTTAACTTGGTACATCATTTTAAATTTTATTAATTTAAATAAATATTTTTTTTCAGCAATAAGAGAGGGAAGCCAATATTTATAGATCCAGCCCTTTATAGCAAAAAGAAATCAGAGATTTGGCAGGTTAGTAAGCAGAGGAGTCTTCCAACAGCTTTTAAACTCTACACAGGTGTTGTTTTCTTTTTCTTTAATATTTAGATTATGCTATTTTGTTTCATATGCATTTGTATTTTAATCATTGAATGACTTATCTATAGCATGTGAGGTTCTGAATCATAACAGAGTAATTGTTAGACTTTTTCAACGAGGTCATAAACATTTTTAGGATATTCTATAGACACCTCATATGAATAAATGTGCACACTTTGAAAAACAATGAGATACTACCAACAAAGTAAAGATAATAAGATGTAAGAATTTTTTAACACATCATTTTATACTAGTTGACAACAGAATATAGTTTACACCTAGTTATTCCTTTTATTTGAATATTTTCTTTTTCTTTTTTATTGCTAAAAACTTGATCTAGATCTACTATAACTTTATTGGTTAAGCACGAGTATATTAACCTTAATACAAAGTTCTTATTTGTTGGAGTTCAAGATGAATATTGAAGATGAAAAAGATGGAAGAGAGAATTTTATAGTTAACTTTTTATTTTTAGTTGGATATGGTTATAATTGTTAGAAATAATTTATACTTTATAAAATTTAGTGACTAAGTTTTGTTAGAGGGTAATTTAGTACTTTAGAATGTTGTTTATGTGACCCTAATTTTCTGTGCATAAATAGATTATTGGTAGACGTCATTTAATGTAATTTTTTTTTACAACTTTGTAGCCGTCATTTTGCAGAGTATAAATATATTATCTCATTCTATTCATCTCTTTTAACCTTGCGCACCAACAATTGGTATTTAGAGCTCTAGTTTGAATTCACGTGAAATATGGGAAACACAAGTGAAACAGTGAGGAGTTGTGTGATTGATTTCGTTTCTTGAATTCGTGTTGAATCTTGAACGAAATCGTAACAAAATCACATTTTTTTATTATGCGGGATTGGGAAACACTGTGTTTGGTGAGATCTAAGTGATTGCACAAGGTTGAAGATGAACGAAAACGGTGGTCTGAGCACCAAGTTTTCAGTGTTTGATGGAAAAAAACTAGACTCGTTGGATGATTCAGATGCGTGTATTGTTCGGTGCTCAAGATGTGCTTGATCTTGTCATTGAAGGTTACGTTACAGTAGCAGCAAATGCAACGGAGGAACAAAAGAACGCGCAGAAAGATACGAGGAAAAAAGATCAGAAAACATTGTTCTACATCCATCAGTGTGTGGATGCAAATGTGTTTGAGAAAATCGTTGATTCAACGACGACGAAGGTTGCGTGGGATACACTGGTCAGGTGCTATGGTGGTGACACATCAGTGAAGAAGGTGAAACTTCTGTCCCTACGAAAGCAGTATGAGAATCTCAACATGAAGAACAATAAGAAGGTATCTGAGTACATCTCTAGAGTGATTCTGATCACTAATGAGATGAAAGCTTGTGGAGAAACCATGTCTGAACAAGTAATCATTGAGAAGGTATTGAGATCCTTTACCCCTCAGTTTGATTACATTGTGGTAGCAATAGAACATTTTAAAGATCTGAGCACCATGAGAATTGAAGAGTTGCAAAGTAGTCTACAGGCACGAGAGTTGTATCTGACTAAGAGAACTTCTGAAAGGAAAGTAGAGCAGCAAGCTCTGAAAACAGTTTCTGGTAAGAAGCATCAGAAACAGTTTTGGTCAGAAGCCATGAGATTATCTGATGGTTTCGGAAGTCAGAAACCTCAACTTCTGATAAGCAGAATAATGCTCAGAAGGGAAAAGAAAGGTATGACAAGAAGAAGATCTAGTGCTATTGTTGTAAGAAGTTTGACCATTTTGCTGCTGATTACTAGTCAAACAAGGAAAGAAAGTCAGAAGAAGCAAATATAGCCAGAAGTTCTGATGATGAATCTATGCTACTGATGGCTTTTGAATCTGATGATACGGATTTGACAGACTGGTGGTATATGGACACTGGCTGCTCAATTCATCTTACTGGAAATAAGAAATGGTTGGTTGACTTTGACTCTGGTAAGAGGACAAAGATCATATGTGTTGATGGTAAATACCTCAAAACTGAAGGTATGGGAAATGTCAGAGTCATTATGAACAATGGGAAAACAACATTGATTTAGAAAGTGTGGTATGTACCTGGCATGAAAAGCAATCCGATGATTTTGGGGCAACTAATTGAAAAAAGTTTTTCAGTTACCATGAAGGACAATCTTCTGAAGCTGTATGACTGCAATTAGAAGATGATTATGGAGTCAGAATAGGGAAGGAATAGAATATTCAAGGTGAATGTAAGAACTGCATACTCTGAATGTCTTAGTGCAACAAGTGTTGTGAAGGAAAGTGAGTTGTGGCACAAAAGATTTGGTCATCTGAATTTCAGAAGCTTAGGGAATCTGAATACGAAGAAGCTGGTACATGGAATTCCTACCATTAAGAAGTATGAGAAGTCATGCAAAGTTTGCATGGAAGGAAAGCAACCAAGATTTCCATTTGCGTCAGAAGCAGCTCTAAGAGCAAAGCATGCCTTAGGGGTAGTTCATTCTAACATGTGTGGTCCATTTCCAATAGCATCGATTGGAGGGAATAAATACTTTGTGTCATTTGTTGATCAATTCACAAGAATGACATGGGTATCCCTTATAAAGTTCAAACACGAGGTGTTTGCTGAATTCAAAAAGTTCAGAATGATGGCTGAGAATTAAAGTGGTCAGAATCTGAAGATTCTCAAAACCGATGGTGGAGGTGAGTATAACTCCACTGAGTTCAGAAAGTTTTGTGAGGAGAATGAAATTGAGCATGAGGTTACTGCTCCTTATACTCCTTAACACAATGGTCTTGCTGAGAGAAGAAAGTGTACTTTGCTTGATATGACGAGAAGCACACTGAAGGAGAAGAAGCTTCCTCATACCTTATGGGGAAAATCTGTTGCCACCGCAACATATGTGCTCAACAAATGTCCAATAAAAAAGATGAAGGAAATAGTTCCTATTCAGAAGTGGACTGGAGATAAGCAAAGTGTTAGTCATATGAAGGTATTTGGTTATGTATGTTACAAACATGTTCCAGAAGTCAGAAGACAGAAGCTGGATGATAGAAGCAAAGTAATGTTACTAGTGGGGTACCACAATATAGGTGCGTACAAGCTCTAATGTCCAGAAACTAATAAAGTTGAATTCAGCAGAGACGTCATTGTAAAGGAATCAGAAACTTGGTATTAAAACAAGTCTCAATCAAACTCTGATGTGAGAACTTCTGAAGAAAGTTTAGAATTAGAAGTTTCTAAAGATGAGTTAGAAACTGAAGAAGATTCTGAAGTTGGAGTAGACTCTGATGGTGATTATGACTCTAAAGGAGACTCAGAAGGTGAACATGATTATGATCTAGATTCTGATGGTGATTCAGATTCTAGTGGTGATTCAGATTTTGGGAATATTCTAGGCTCTGAAGGTGGTCAAGGTTCTGGAGGAGGTCAAACTTCTGAAGCAAGAGCTTCTGAAGGAGAAGCTTCTAAAGATAGAACATCTAAAGTTCAAGCATTCGAAGGAGATTCTGAACGAAGTCAGAGGCCACAAAGAATCAAAAACATTCTGAGGATATTTGCAGAGTTTGACATGCTACGAGACACTGAAGTAGATTCTGAAGGAGAAGTTATTCAGTGTGCCATGTTAGTAGACTCTGAACCCGTAAGCACGAAAGAGGCTCTTAAGAAGAATGCCTGGCTGAAGGTAATGAAAGAAGAACTTGATGCCATAGAGAGGAATAAGATTTGGAAGCTGACAGAACTTCCAAAGGACAAGAAATCCATCAATGTCAGATGGGTTTTCAAGTAGAAGCTAAAGCCAGATGGATCAATTGGTAAACACAAAGCGAGGTTAGTAACAAGATGATTTCTACAGAAACCTGAGCTGGATTATTCTGAAGTGTTTGCACTTGTAGCGAGACATGAAACAATCATACTGGTGATTGCAATAGCTACTAACAGGAATTGGCCTCTGATGCATTTAGATGTGAAATCTTCACTTTTGAATGGTCCATTACAAGAAGAGGTATACGTGTCAACACCTCTTGAATTTGTTAAAAGGAATCAGGAAGGGATGGTGTAAAGATTACATAAATCTTTGTATGGATTGAAGCAAGCGCCCAGGGCCTGGAATATGAAGATTGATTCATTTTTCAAGGAGCAGGAGGTTCAAAAATGTGAGATGGAGTAAGGTGTTTATGTTTAGCATACTTCTGAAGGCAATATGATTCTGGTGTGTTTGTATGTTGATGACATACTGCTGACAGGGAGTTCTGAACAAGAGATAACTAAGTTAAAAAAGGTGTTGATGAATGAGTTTGGAATGATTGATCTCAGGAAAATGACATATTTTCTAGGGATGGAGTTTATATACTCTAATAAGGGTATCATTTGCATCAGCTGAAGTATGAACTTGAAGTTATGAAGAGATTTAAGTTGCATGACTATAAGGCTGATATCACACCTGCATATACAAATCAAAAACTGGATTCTGATTCTTATGGTGAGGATGTGGATGCTAAAACCTTCAAACGGTTGGTTGGTTTTCTGAGGTATCTGTGTAATACCAGACCTAATATTTGTTATGCAGTTGGAATGGTTAGTAGTTTCATGAGTAAACCTAAGTGGTATCATTACCAAACTGATGTTTGAATTCTGAGGTATATCAAGGGAACTCTGAAGTATGGAGTGTTATTCCCTCCTGGAAGAAAGATTGAATCAAAACTTCTGAGTTATTCAGACTCTGATTGGTATGGAGACAGAGTTGACAAAAAAGTACTTCTGGGTACTTGTTTAAGTTTCCGGGAGGTCCTATTTCTTGGTGTTCCAAGAAACAACCTGTTGTTGAAATGTCAACTTGTGAAGCTGAATATATCATAGGCGTTGTGACTGCATGTCAACCTGTGTGGATTCTAAACTTACTACAGGATCTGAAGATCCCATTTAACAAGCCTTTAAAGCTGATGATTGATAACAAGTGTGCAATCAATCTTGCCAGAAACCCAATGCTGCATGGAAGAAGCAAGCATATTGAGACTAAGTA